ATGGATCACTTGATGATAACCTGTCTGTTCATTCCCTTTGGGGCACCTGCCATTGGCCACTGTCAGAGGACAGGATACTGGGCTTGATGGACCTTTGGTCTGACCCAGTATGGCCATTCTTATGTTCTTAGTGACTGTATCCTAAACTCAACTGTTTTTTCATTTTGTATTTCAAAAGGTATGAGATTATGAATTTTAAGCAAATGGGGAAGGATTACTTTGACTATATCAATGTTGGAAGTTGGGATAATGGTGAATTGAAGATGGATGACGATGAAATATGGTCAAAGAAGAATACTGTCATCAGATCGGTCTGCAGTGAACCATGTGAAAAAGGCCAGATAAAGGTAAATAGGGTGCTTTTTATTGTATTGATGTTTTATTTGCATAGTCTTGAAATGTTACCCAGAATGTTTGTCAAAATCTTCAACCCTGAGAACCTAAAGTTAAAAATAGTTTTGGCACCTAAATAAAAAGTGCTAAAAGTTGTTTATGTGATTACTGCTTCTTGCTACTCTTTTCATAATTGTCTCATTATTTTCTTGTACTCCCCCATTGTCTGTCTGTCTCCATCTGTTGCCTTCTGTTTTATACTTAGATTGTAAGTTCTTTGGACAGGGACCATCATTTTGTTCTGTCTTTTTGTACAGTGCCTAGCACAATGGGGTCTCAATCCCTGATTGGGGCCTATAAGAACCAGCCCAAAGCAAATAAACTCATAATAATCATCATCATTTAAGTGCTAAAATCTGGATTTAGGAACATAATTTTTAGTCACCCAATTTTGAAATGTTTAGCCTTAGCTCTTAAGAGCCCTTAATTTCTTCTTATTAACAATAATACACTAAACACAGGAAAAATCTTTCATTAATTATTAATAATGTGTTTAAAGGAGAATCTCATGAAAAGGTAAGTAACTTGATGGATTTGCTAAAATCACAACTCTGTTTTGCTTAGGGACTGTCATGTTCCTTTTTTCATTAGCAGTCTGCAGTCTGCAAGTTATGTTAGTCTATAATTAAGGGGGCAAAGGGGCTCCCCCGAATAGGAAGATGCAATGGCACAATTTGACATCTGTATGAAAAGAGCACAGGAATGTGGACATGATTCTACTCTCAGTGGAAGTGATGTGAATCAGGAGTAACTCACTGAAGCAAAAAGAGATAGCAATGTGTGATCAGAATCAGGCCATAGTCTGCAATAACAAGAAGTGTTCGTGGGGGTTAAATTTAGTGATCTGGCTTCAAAACAAGCAATACGTGTGGTGAACAGCGTCGCTGTACTAGAGATAGGCCCAGGTCACAAGTTTTGGAGCTGAATCTAAACCTTCCGAAATTTCAGGAGTGTTTGGATCCAGGATTTGATTAGTGCCTGACTCTACTCTTCACTATGGATCCTAATTCAGGAAAGCACTTAAGAATGTGTTTAAAGTTAAATGTTCTGCATCAGGACCCATATCTGTAATCTTCTTTCTCTTTATATTTGATTGTTGAGTATAAATCCCAAATTTTCTTTCACAGACAAAAGCCCATGTGCTAAAATAGGGGATGAGGCCTGGTTCCATTGAATTAAGTCAATAGAAGTTTTACCATTGACTTCAGTGGATTTCACCCAGGGAATCTAGACACACACAAAGCAACAGTGTCCCATTATTCAGCAGCAGGCAGCATGTCCCTTCCTGCATGGCCTTATGCAAACCAAAAACAGTAAAACCCAGAACACCGGAAATATTCTGGAGACATCAAAACTCTTTGAAGAATCACAAGAACGACCAGCAGGAGAGTGGCCTGGGGGAAATAACTGCAGTTGAAAAAAAGGATGAGATTTAGTTAAATAGGGCTGGATAAATTGGGGGAGGAGTTACAGTGGAATCAACTGCAGCCGATAGCAGTCGGATGTTAAAGAAACGGACAGTGAAGCAGCTGAAAAGTCCATTTAACAAACACATCTGACAGGGGGCTTGATCCTGAGGTTTGCTAAGAGATTCTTACTCACTCCTATGGGAGTTGTGGGTATTCCCAACCCTTCACAATCAGAGGAAAGTTTTTGGAAATCTTCCAGTCTGTTTTCTCATTTACTTATTTCTTCAGGTGATTTTGCCCTTTAAGAATCTAATGTAAACAACCACCTCTCTTTGTAAACTCGCTCAAAGCCATTGAGGGAGATTTATTTCCCAGGTTTCTGCGCTATACAACAGCCTTTCAGGACTTTGGTTGACTATGCTCCTTTGCATTTGATTAAAATCCCGATTCGTGACATTTGCTTGTGAAACTACATGCTGAACTGATCCCTACGAAGACGAGATAAGTCAGCCCAATGTCGTAGTTGGTAGCATGCGTTTAAAAACGGATAGAATGTGATGAGCACGGACACTGAGAATACTTTATCCCAAAGAGGAAGGGGCCTTCCCATCTCCCTTGGCAGATCGCCAGGGATCACAGATGTGTTCAACGCCCAAGAGAAGATACATGGGGATTTTGAGAAACTCACATTTGAATTGCCAGGGTGCTGTAGGATGTAGCATGTTGAATGGAAAGAGGTGAAAATCAGTCCTGAATGTTAAAATAGATACACATTACACTCTCCTTATTAAATGTTAATTTAAAACATGCCTGATCTGACTCAGTTTGGAAAAGGGACATAAAACCTGAATTTTCTCAGACTGATCACAAACTGAACTCTAGACCAGCCCAATCCTTAGGGAAGCAAATCTGGTTTCCCACTTTTTCAGGCTACATTTGGACTCGAACTGGGTGAATTACTGTATCTACAGTGAACAATATTATTCCCCTTTTTCTGTGTGAAAATGATCACTGAAGAGAGTTAGACCTTTACAGCATTGTTTGCTTGACAAACGATTTATCTCTACATAGCCTCAAACCTATCTGTAAACTATCCTCAATGATTGTTTCTTCCAATGCCCATGAGTCACAGTTCATGCTGTGTGAATGACCACCCAGTTCTAATCAGAAGGATTTATAATGGTAAGAATAATATTAGCAAAAGGGGCTTCCTCAAAAAAACGTGCTCATCTCTATTAGAAACAGTAAGTAAAAAAGGGACTTTGAAAATCAAATAAGGAACCTCAGCAGCATTAAAGAAAATTGATTTTAATAACAAATCTAATTGCTCTGTTAAATATTCATCTCAGGTGATCCGTAAAGGAGAAGTCAGCTGCTGCTGGACCTGTACGCCTTGTAAGGACAATGAGTTTGTCTCTGATGAATACACATGCAAGGCGTGCCAGCTGGGCTCCTGGCCCACTGATGACCTTACAGGTAATTGAGTTATTGTGTTTAAGACCCTGCAAAAGTCAATGGAAATGTTCATACAGTTTATATCTGAGTATATAATGCACTACGAAATATATGCACTACAAAACTAAATATTAGGGGTGTTTAGATTTTGTTTAGCCTAGAGTTTGGCTCCAAGTTTGAACTGAGGCTGGCATCTGTATTCATGGTTCAAGCTGTTCTCCATGAATCTTTGTCACAAACCAGTGGGAAATTCATCGGAAGAGCTATTCCCAAAGTTCTGAGCCACTGGCTTTAGAAAACAGGCTTATTCTGGCTTTAGATCCAAACTGAGTCAAAATCATTGGGACAGGTTTGGATATGAACCTTCCAAAAATGGGAAGGAGATAAGTTGTTGTATAGAAGTTGAGTGGGGTCCAATTTTAGGTGCCTCTGTTTTTCTCCAAAACAGGCACAAAATAATTCTGTGAAATGTCAGTGTTTTCCATCCAAATTCTAGCCAGTTGAGAGACCCTCTGGACAACTTCCTGTGCAGATTACTCCTCCCAAAAACACAATTAATCCAAGAAGCATCAACATTTGTAATAGCTTTGGGTGCACCAGACAGTCTGAGCTAAAACACAGGGATGATGTCCTTCCGGCTCTGGATAACGTGCCTCTGTGTTTCAGTGCAAGGAAGTCTGCAGAATATGTTAGCAGATTTTGAGACCGTCAGTGTGTGGCCTCAACACTGGTACTGCCCGGGTTTTCTCCTCGCTACCTAATCATAGCATTGGTATTCAAATATTTTTATTACATTAACACCTACAAATGCCAGCCACGGATTAGGTTCTCATTAGCTGGGCTGTGTACAAACAGGTAACAAAAGGCAGTCCGTACCCCAAAGAGCTTGGAATCTTGCTTCATGACAAGATGGATGAAACACATGGGTGGGGTGTGGAGAAGGGAGAATGAGATGATAATAGAGAGAGAGAAAGTGTGTGTGTGTGTGTGTGTGTGTGTGTGTGTGTGTGTGTGTGTGTGTGTGTGTGTGCG